TTGTAGACATGTACAACATCGAATATTGTTTTTGTTATGACATGTCCATGTGGTCAATATGAATTTATTGATTCAACATCGGCTTCATTGACTGATGCTTTAACTTGTATGTAAATTAAATATAGTCATTCATTTTATTTTTGTATACACATAGATCATCGATTGGCATGTAATCAAATGATGCATAGTTTCTTAACTGGTACGCCAGTTTATGAAGAAATAATGACACCAATGGAACGTTGTCGGTATGTGAATTCTCTTTTTTTTTGTATGTATTTATTTCAATTATCCATTTTAGACATCTTATCGTAAGAAAAATGCGTCTTTATCAACATTCAGCTCATTGTTGAGTGGCAGTTCAATTATTTCTTGAACATAATCCAGTATATTGGTGTTTTATTCCAAGACCAAGAAAAGAAGTTGAACAAGAAAATGATTTCTATGCAAGAATTGTTCTTGCTACTGGATCCGAATTTGTCTATGTGCTTCCAAAACGGACAAATCAAGAAAAAAAAGTAGCTAGACTTTTAACTGGTATATCATTTCCACCAGCCGAACGTCATTTCTCATCTGCACAAATACAAAAACAACGATTATTTTTCGATCGTCATCTATTGAGTCCTGTTGATCAATTACCTTATGTAGAAACTGATCTATATAAAATGAAAATCATTGCTGTTTGTAAGTGAATTATATGATATTGATTTATTTTTTTGGATTTACTTTTTTTTTCTATAGTACCTACTGACGAATCAATTATATTACGATATCTTATTGAAACATTATTTATTATTCATGGTGAAACAAAATTAAATATGATATGTCCCATTGGTATTGATCCTGAACAACGTTATGGTCGACCTTATGATCATCAATGGTATTATCATATAAAACATCCAGAACTACCAACGGCACCATCTATTCTTTCATTAATTCAAACAATAAAAGAACTTAATGAACGTCCATCCAACGATCCTGATCCTGATGATGATGATGACGATGATGATGATGATGATGATGATGATGATGATGATGATGAT